GGTGCGGCGACATACCTTTTTCACCTGAGCGGCGAAATAAAACGGGTTCGTTTTCACCGACATTGGCGCGTAACCCGCCTGCGTAAGGTCGCGCGTCAGCGCCTTCGTTTCAGGTGCAGCGTGCCGCGCCGGCGGCCCGCCGAAGCCATTCCCAAGGTCGCTATGTCACCTCACGTGCGAACCTTTTCTTTTCGTCGCCCACCTGGTTCGTGGCGCCACAGAAACAGTCCGTACGCCAGCCGACCCCGTCGCGAACAGCCACCGTGCGCCCGAAACGCGTTCCGAAGAGCACGGACGACGCCCGCGGCGAGGTGCGCCGAGGACGCCAGAGTGGCCCCGCGCAGTATTTTCTTTTACGGCTGGCGCTGCAAAGACGCAGTCGGCCTTGATTACGTCGACCCTGCCAAGTCCAGGCTGCCCTTGTGTCCTGTTTGGAGAGACCCGTGCCTTCTACGCTCACGCAGAAGTGTCTCGTATCTTCTCGCGTGTCCTCTCAAGTCAAGCCCGACTGCAGCGTGCGATGTGGCGTCGCCGGCCCGCCCACTGCATTCGAAGCACAAGAAACGGCAGTAACATAATCTTTCGGCGCTCAGCGCAGATTTTGGATCTGCGCTGGAGCGCCCTGGCGGCGCCTCCGGCGCCGCCCCTGCGCTCCGCGCGCCAGGGACGGGGGGTCCAGCGCAGACCCAAGACATCCGCGCGGACCTTCGTTCTTGTTTCTCCATGGTTCCCCTCCCTGGGGATAGCGTGCACCGGCGAGGCCCCGGCAGGGGGACGCCGACGAGGCGCTCGCATGGTGGGACGCAGGAGCGGCCCTCGAGGAGGATCGCCTCACAGGAACGGCGTGCACTTTGGAGATCGACACTTCACGCTGTCTGTGCAACGCCAAACGTACGGCAGGGACGCTGAAAGAAGGACAGCTCCGGGTTCGGAAGGGGCTCGCTGGTCTTCGGGTCCTTCCATGGCTGTTCCTCTAGCCCTCCTCGTGCACCCAGGCGTTGCTGGCGCCCCAAAGGGGCTTAGTTCTTTGTTTAGCGTTCCGTATGGCAGCAGCACGACTCTGGGCCTCCCAGATGGGGTCGGAGGCTCGCGCCGCATCGCCGATGCATCGGCGCTGCGGCGCGATGTGGAGCCCGATTTTCTCTGTGCGGGTGTCGTCGATGCATCGGGGATGCGGCGCAATCATCCGACCCCATCTTTTCGGACCTCAGCGAGGAGGCCTCTATAATTCCCGAGCGCGCAGTTTCGAAGACTCCCCTGACGCGTCACCGCCTCCCCCCCTGCCGTTCTGGAAGTTGGAGGAGGGTGCGTTGAGACAACGAGGCTCGAGATGCCTTGACGCTCTCGGCGATTCTCGGTGGCTTTCCAGACTCGGATGCTCTCCAGCAGCTGCGCCTCGTCGAGAGCGTTCTGGGGCTGCCAGGATCGTCCCGAACGGCCGCCGGAGGTCAGAGGTATGACCCGAAGGCCAGACGAACCACGCAGGAGCGCGAGCTGAGACAGCGGTAGACGCCCTTCGGGGGGGGGGCCCTCATCGCAGCGGCCGGATGCAGCGCGGAAGACTGGTGGGGTTGGAGCGCGGGAGAGGTCAAGAGGACCGATTTTGAGATGTCGCTGTCTCATCTCGCCCTGCTCCGAGGAAACCTCTCGCCTGCCTTCCGGTGTGCCAGAGTTTGGCCAAGCCACCGGGCGTTGCGTTCCTCCAGCTGTTGCGGCAGCCACTCCAGGAACGGAGGGTTGTGGCTTCCCTCGTTTGGGAGCTTTGGGCCTTTCCTGGCGGCTTGCGTGGTCCATCGCCGGAGCATTGAAGGCACCTTTGACCATCTCGGAGCCCTCGCAGATCGTCTTGGTGGTCGCTTGGGCCCTCCTGGGGCCGTGGGAGTCTCAGAAGGGCCTCTTGGGATATCTTGGTCGCCGCGTGTGGTCACCCTAGAGCTACATTGGGACTTTCTCGAGACTTCTTGGGCCTTTCACGGGCAATTTTTTCCGCACTGGGCTGGAACAGCTGGGAGGCAGAAGCCGCTTGACATCTTCTGAGTCATGAATGCTTCAGTTGTCTGAGACCTTTGTCAAAGCCTTCTTGGGGCTCGCTCTCAGTTCCCCGCTGGCCTCCACAGCCCCGCAGAGGTCCGACAACGTCCACATTCATTTTTGGCCCTCAAAGAAGACATTCTTGCATAAGCATCAGCGTTCAAAAGTCTTTTTCGATTTCCTGGGTCTGCAGTGGACCCTCCTCCCTGGCGCGCGCAGCGCGTTAGGGCCGGGGCCAGCGGCGACGCCAGGGCGGGCGCACCGCGCCGGTCGGGGGCATTGTATTCGTCTAGCGCCTGATCAGCAACGCTTCGGCCTGATCGTACTTTTCAACGGGACGTCCAGCGAGATTCTCGTGTCGAGCAAATGTTGCGCTTCATCCGTGCAATTGTTGCGCAAGTTCACGTCGTAAACTTCGAGGAAGTGTAATACGATAGCCACAGTTTGCAAAGGAGCCGCCATCTCCCCATGCACCTGTTACATATGTTCAAGCGGCTGCGCTTGAATTGTAAACAAGTCCCGCACGGGCCCAATTTGTTGAGAAAGGGCCGCCCCCCATTGATGCAAGTGTTGCAAGCTTCTACGGAGGATGTGCGCGGCGTTCAGGCGGGAGCTCTATTGCGAAGGCCTTGCGGCCAGTGGCGCCGAGCCTGTGCGCAATGGGCAGCAGGAGACATGGACAGTACAGTCAAGACGCGGAAGGAAGGACCATTTTAGGCTCAGGAGGGGTTATAATGTTCGGCTTGTTCTTTAGATCCAGGTCGTGGAACCGATTCGTGGCCGAGGCTCGCCGTGGCCAGGACAGCCCCTTCGTTCCTTACATGGCGTTCCGCGTGGTAGCACGAAGCTGTAGGACGTTGAGCAGGAGGACGAGGAAGAGGATGGAGTGGGGAGGAGGGGGAGGGGAGAAGCGGAGAAGGGGAGAGAGGAAAGTGAGAGGGGCAGGCCTCTTGGGGTCATCGGAGGGCCCTCGTGGGTCCGTGTTGGCGGTCTCTCAGGCCCTCTTGGGGCCTTCGGGGGACCCTCAAGAAGCTACTGTGGAGTCCTCTGAGGCCCTCTTGGGCCTCTCTTGGGGCTTTCCTGGGGATCTCTTGGGGCTCTCTTGGAGGCCCTGGGAGGCCTTTTAGGGCTATCTTGGAGGTCATCGATCACAGAAGGAGTGTTCCCGATGCGCTTCCCTCAGTCGGCGTGCCCAAATTGAGCATCTTTGGGGTTTCTTGACGCGTTATTGAGGCGCTCTCAGGCGCTCTCGGGGCCGTCTTGGGGAGCTCCCGGGTGCCTCTGGGGACGCTTTTTGGGCCATCTTGGCGCCATCTTGAGGCCTCAGGAGCCCTTCGAACTCGAAAAAGTGTGAAAGCTCGCAAGATGGGAGATCACGATCTGGTTTTGAATGATTTTCGCCTCCTGGGGGGTTCCGTGAGAAGCTCCGTGGCCACTGGGCGCCGCCTTGGAGAGGACCTGCGGCCTCTTGGGCGCATGCAGGAGGCTATCTTGAACAGTTTTGGGGTACCTTCAGCGAGGCCGAATCCTCCTTGCGCTATGTGGAGGCCTCTTGAGGCCGGGTGGGGGAGGCGACGCACCCCGCGGATCCCCTCCCATCCTCCCCACCCCCCCGCGACCCCCTGGCTCCCCCCCCTGGGGGGGGGGAACCCCGTCCCACAGGGGAAAGGCTCCGAGGGAAGGTGGGCTCCCTTCGATTCGGTTACGACATGCCGACGTTGCCTGATTTCCCTCTGGCTGGCGCGCTTGAGCAGGATTGCCGAGGGAAAAGGAGGGAGCGGCGGCGGCGGCGACGACGACGACGAAGAGGGCGACGACGACCACGACCACTCGTCTCACACACGCCAGCAGGGCCAGCGGATTTTGAAAACGACTTGCCTTCCATCCTTGAAACAAGGCTGCAAGCTTGAACGACGAATGTGCGCGGCACTGAGGCGATACCCTCATTTTTTAACGATCCTCGCCCCATCCTCCTAAGCGTCTCAGTCTTTTAAAGAGGAATGTTCGCGGTGCTAAGACGAGAGCTCCAGTTTGAAAACCACATGTTTCCTATCCTTGCATCCGCTGCAATGTTTTTAAGACTGTTATGCGCGGTCCATCCTGGTAGCAGCTGCGACTCGCAAAATTCGTGGTCGTAAGCGGCGAGGCAGTCTCAGGCGACACGTCTGGGCGTGTCCCGCGGAGGATTCATTCAGCAGGAACCGGGATGGGGGATACGGCCGAGACGCCGAAACAACGATTTGGCCATCCTGGGCTCAGGAGGGGCGCTGGGCTTTCCTCCCTCTCCTCCCTCTCCTCCCTCTCCTCCCTCTCCTCCTCGCCCTCCTCGCCCTCCTCCTCCTCCTCCTCCTCCTTCTCCTCGCCCTCCTCGCCCTCCTCGCCCTCCTCGCCCTCCTCGCCCTCCTCCTCCTCCTCCTCCTCCTCCCATTCCTCACGCCGACGTCGGGGGAGCCTGCTCGTGGCCCGGGCTCGCCGTGGCCAGATGGGCCCCTTCGTTCCTGATCCTGCCGTCTCCTCCTCCTCCTCCTCCTCCTCCTCCTTCTCTCTGTTTCTTCCTCCTCCTCCTCCTCCTCCTCACCCCCCTCCTCCTCCTCCTCCTCCTCCTCCCCTCCTCCTCCTCCTCCTCCTCCTCCTCCTCCTCCTCCTCCTCCTCCCCTTCTTCCTCCCGAGGTCCGTGCTCGGCGCGGGAAGAAATGCCCAGCGCTCCTCGTGGCAGCGCGATGGCACGGCGAAGCGCTGTGGATGCGACATGCTGAAGTTGGTGACCTTTCTTTTGGCGACGGCGCCTCTGGTGAACCACGGAGGGCGGCATCGAGATTCGGCATGGAACGGGCAGAAGAGAAGCTCGCCAGCGAGAACGTATTGCTCACACTGGTTAATCTGGTGTGTCGTCGTAAACAACTTCCCGACGAAATAGACCCTGGTCGATCTGCCCTCCGCGGCGCCTCCCCCTCCCCCGAGAACCCCAGGGGCGGCCTCGGCGGCCGAGACGTTCCGCCTGACGGGCCTGTCGCACCTGCCGCCGCTCGTGGGCGCCTCCTGGGGCGCTGACGGCCTCACGCTGGTCACGTCGTCGCCATCGTCGTCGTCGTTGTCGCCCTCGTCGTCGCCGTCGTCGTCGTCGTCGTCGTCGTTGTCGTCCTCGTCGTCGCCGTCGTCGTCGTCGTCGTCGTCGTCGTCGTCGTCGTCGTCATCGTCGTCGTCGTCCTCGTCGTCGCCGCCGTCGCCGTCGCCGTCGGCGTCGGCGTCGGCGTCGGCGTCGGCGTCGGCGTCGACTCCTCCGCGGCCCCTGGCGGCCCTTCCACGGCCCTCGGCGGGCCGGCCACGGCTCCCCGCGGCGACTGCGGCGTCGGCGATGAAGACGAGGAGGAGGGCTACGACGACGACGGCATGCTACGATCACGCGCACTCACCACGGTGGATGGGGGGGAGCAGGGGGAGGAGGATGAGGAGGAGGAGGAGGAGGCGGAGGAGGAGGAGGAGGGAGAGGATGAGGAGTAGGAGGAGGAGGAGGAGGAGGAGGCGGAGGCGGAGGCGGAGGCGGAGGCGGAGGCGGAGGCGGAGGCCCCGACCAGGGCGACGACGACGCCGGAGGTGGCAGCGGCTCCAGAGGCTCGTCCGGGGCAGTGGGGCGCGCAGGAGGGCTCGTGGTTTTGAGCGTTGTTGACACCTTCGTGGCCTCAGGAGCCCCCCCTGGGGCTGGGGGCCCTTCGGGGAGCCCTCGGAGGGATCTCCTTCTCGTGCTACCCCTGCTGTCGCTGCTCCCTCTCTCGGCCCCTCCCTCCTTACACCTCGCTCTCCTCACAACGATCCTCTTGGTTGCTTCTCCCTCCTCCTTCCTCATCCTCCTTCATCTCTCCACCTTCCTCCTCCTCCTCCTCCTCCTCCTCCTCTTCCTCCTTCCTCACCCTCTTCCTTCCTCATCCTCCTCCTTCCTCCTTTCTCATCCTCCCTCCTCCTCCTCTTCCTTCCTCCTCCTAGTCCTACACTTCCCACATCTCTCCTCCTTCCTCATCTTCCTTCACGTCCTCCTCCTCCGCTTCCCCCTCCGCTTTCTGATTATCCTTCTCATCCTCGTCATCTCGTCGTCGTCCCCCTCCTCCTCTTCCTCCTCATCCTCCTCCCCTTCTTCCTCCTCACTATCCTCTAATACCCATCTAATCCCTATCCCTCATCCCTTCCTTCTCCTCCTTCTTCTCCTCCCCTCCCTCCCTCGTCGTATCCCCTTACTCCTCCACCGAATCCCCCATCCCATCTCCCGCCCTCCCTCCAACCTCCTCCCTGCCCCCCCTTCCCGCTCCCCTCGGCCCCCTCCTCACGCCCCTCCCCGGCCTCTGAAACTTTTAACCTGCTGTCGGGGTGCAGCGCGCAAGCATCTTGGGGCTGCGAGGCGGCACCTGCCGATATGCGAGGTTCATAGAGAGGCACGCCGCGCCGCTCCCTGGCCTGGCTTCTGGCAGTCGCCGGCGATGGCCTGGGAGGCTCGGGATGCTGCTGGAAACGGCCTCTCGCAGGGTCAGACCCGGCTCCCTCATGTGTTGTCGGGATTGGCCATCGGGGGCGGCAAAGAGGGGGGTGATGACTAGGGGGGGGGATATCACGGCGGTGGCCATGATATTTTCCCAGATCTCTTGGCGCCTCTTCTTAGTTCAGTGCGTTCCCTGGCCCCCCCCCCCCTGGGCCGCGCACATGCCGCCAGCCATGATTTGCACCCCCCCCTCTTGGACACCCCCCTCTTGGCCGTCCCTGAGGCTAGAACCGTCCGGGACAGAGTCGGTCCAGCAGAGGTCAGCGCATCTTGGTATGTCTCGTGCGGTACGCGTGCGCACGCAGAGATCCTTTGTGGCAAGAAGATCTATGATGTCACGCTTGAGGCCTTAGGGGCCGCTCATCGCTGTCCTCGGCAGCAGACACAAAACTTGGTTTGGATTAGAGAGGGGGATCTGATTTGTGTCCAGCGGGCGCGCGTTCAGGCTGAGCTTTTCAGATCCCCTCCTTCTTGGCGCATGGAGGCTCCAAAAACGTGAAGCGGAGAATGGGTGTCGTCCACGCAGATGAAGATCCCCGACGCCCGTTGTCGAGTTTGTTGATTGGGCCCCGATTCGCTTAAGCACTACTTCTGCTGTGAAGTCTTCCTTGGGCTTGTGGCTGAAGCATGGTGCGTGCCCTTCTCCCTGGAGCCCCATGCCAAAGCTCGCCCTCCTTCACGCGAGCGCCGATAGCCTCAGGCGAGTCGTGGTGTCGATTCATTTCTACAGTGGACTAGCGCACGTCAAAGCTGTAACGACCGTTTTCTCCAACTGGGAAGCGCTTGCTATTGCCCGGGCAGCAAGGAAAACGGTCGATCTGCCGGGGGGCGGTCGGCGGTTCATGACGAGACGAGCCTTCCTGACGCTCCGCCTCCCTTCCTCCCACCCTCCTCCTCCCGCTTCCTTCTTATCCTTCTTCCAAAGTTCCGTTTTCTCCTCCTTCCTCCGTGCTCTTCCCATTTTTTTGTAATTTCTTTCCTGTGTCCTCCTTCTTGTCCACGTTCCTCTCTCCCGGGGTTCTCTCGCGCACTGTTTTCTCATACACGTTTGGACAACGGTGGTTTGTTTTCCGTGGTTTGTTGTGCAAGCCGATTGTTTTCGGTGTAGCGAAATGGCGCTCTCGCTGCAGCGTGGGCCTCATGTTCGGATCGGCGCCTTGCTCCCGTCGTTCAGGATGGCGCGTTCAATGCGGGCCAAATTTCTCGATCCGAATCCTCCTCCCTTCCCCTCCTCTGCCTTCACCTAGGTCCTCCTGCTCTTCCCGCTCCTTTTCAATAAAGCTCCAGCCGCCGCGGTTCGTCTCGTCCCTGCCCCTCCTTCAGCTTCCGCAGTGTTGTTCGTACTCCTCCTCCACCTCCTCTGCCCTCATCCCCCTCTATTGTTCCTGATTCGAACGGGATCCATTTTGCCCGATTCACCTCGTGCCTTGTCTGCGGCTGCTGCTTTTCATCCGCCGCCGTTTGGGGCCCAGGAACGCATTTTACCGCGTTCGCGTCAGTCTCATCTCAGACATTGTACATGTCGTACCTTCTCCCTTCAGGAAACGCCTCGCCTTTTTGTCATATCATGTTTTACTGTATGTTTAGTTGGTATTGTAACTTCAGCTCCAACACCACGGCTGCAATGGCTTCTCGTTCTCGCTTCGTTTCGACAGCACAGGCTCCATCTCTCCGCCGCTCTACACCGTCCCGCTCTACATCCAGTTGGTCATCTCGGTGGACACTCGCCCTCATCCCCTTATGCCCGTTCGTCGTGGCAGGAAACGTCGTCACTCACGGGTCCGTCGGGGCGTCCGCCCATCCGCCAGAACCAGCGACGGGAAAGGCGCACACCTACCCCAAAAAGTACGAGACCTACAAGGACATTGGCCGCGCGCCCGAGTTTTCAGCGATCCCTCCCGGGCTTGCGCCGACTACGCCAGCGCAGCTCGCGGACCCCACGCTGTCAATGCACCCGCTCGTGGGCGTAGCCGCAAATATCGAACAGCTGCTTTCACATTTTCGGTGTCTTTTGAGGGCCCCGAGCTTCTGGTGACCGTGTCGCGAGAGTCCTGGGAGGATGAAGCACAGAGGAGCGGGGAGGGAAGGGGGGGCTTGGCGACCGTGTCGCCGGCCATCCGAAGAACAGCGCATCGGAACTGGGAAACCCGTATTTTTGTTCTTTGGTACTCGACCTTCCACCTTACTCGTTCATTCCCCGCAGCCTGGCAGGACTGGGTTCCGAGGCGCATTGTTTTTGCTGATTGTACAGTGGGCGGTGTTCAGAACAGCGACAGCACGACGAACGAGAAGCATTCCCGTGATCGTGTCACGGGATGACCCGAGTACCGAGCGCACCACAACCACGAGACGGAAGTATACGCCCAATACGCAGACGAGGAGGAAAGTATTCGGAGCAAGTGTCAACGGCGGCTCGGAGGCACACTTCCCGAGCAGCGCCGCTCGTGTATCCCCTGCCTCCAGCGCCTGTAAGACACGCGGAGAGACTTACGTTCCAGATTCAAGGCCTTCGGAGTGGGCATGGTTTTCATCGCCAGCTGCATCTCCTGCATGGACGCAGGTGGAAGCAGCGGCAACGTGCGAGACCTCCAGAAGTTGGCGCGGTATGTCATGATTTGGTCAGTGGCCAACCCAGACCTCGACGAGTTTTGCTAGGCGGCGTGCGTCTCGTCCCGCTCCGCCGACATGGCGCGCGAGGACGTGGGCGCATGGCCGCCAGGTGTCCTAATGCAAGAAGGATTCATCAGCGGCAACCCAGCGCCACCGATGATCTTCCCGATGCACAGTTCTGCCGAACGGCGGGGCCAACTGGGCGAGGAACAGTGCACCTCGGCAGTGCTAGCGTTCATTAACTTGAACAGACTGCCGGAGAAGCGCATCGACAAGCTCCTCGCGCGATTTGACATCCTTCGCAGACGGGCGCAGCAGGCTGGTCAATTCGGCTACGAGGGCCTCGGCTTCCTCTTGCTGCGCGCCGCTGACGCGTTGGAGATCCAAGTGGTCATGACCTTCTGCAGCGCTGCAACACGGCCTGCCCCGCGAACGCCCAGCATCTCACGCGCGCGACGGGCTTGCCGCGGCGCTCTGGGCGCGTGGTCGAGGGGTCGCCAGGCGACCTCGCCGCGGAGGCCCACTCTGCCCAACGGCGCACCTTGCGAACGCGCCCGCTCGAGATCAGGTCCAGGGCGCCTGTGGCGCCTTAGCTATATCGCGCTTGGACGGCGCGGGCCCAGCTGCGCCAGCATCGGCGCGAAGCCCGCCTGCGCCTTCAGCCACCGTCAGCGCCGGCATGGCGTCGCCAGCGCAGGGGGCATTCCCGGCGGCAGACGTCGACTCGCGCACCGACGCTGACACTATCAGCACCTTCGGTGAAGAGGTTGCGGACGGCGACCCCGGGCTGCGCAACGCCTCCGCGGAACCATGTGGCGCGTACCTTTCTTGATATTGCGAGCGCGCCAAAGCACGACGGCGCAGCTTCAACGGCCGCATGTCCACGCGCCGCGCCCAGGTGGCCACCGGGCGAGAGGGCGAATTGT